TGTCAGCACATATGGCATGCAAAATATCTCAGTTTTTACACCATCTGAACCTTCTGCACAAGTAAATAGCCCTATTTGCTATTTCAGAAGCCCGCTCAATTTTGTATATCAGGCGTGCCCATGTCTGACTTCTATGGAGCTGAAAGGACCACAGTCTGTGCACATTTCCTCTCTCTCTCCACTTGACCTGACTCCAGAGGAGTCCCATCCTAGGAACAAGTCAGACTGTCAGTTCATCTGGCTCATTGTTGTCTATACTGAGTGCAGTGTCTCTCCATGGTTTCAGACTGGGATGCTCTCCCTGCTATATCTGGAGTTGCTGGGGGTTGAACATGGGATCTTCTGCATGTGAAGCAGATGCTGTACCCATTGAGCTATATGGCCCTTCCCTGTGCCTTTCTTCCTTTCATGTTGTAAGCAATTGTGGCCATGGTAGTGGAACTGTCTGTAGCAGAATGAGCAAAAAGGAGGTTCTTCCACCCTGAGCTTAGGGTTAGGTTGCTAAGTAATCCCTCCCTCCCTCTGTGTGTGTCCAAATATGTATTGGCAGATCTGTACTAGTGTCAGGAGTGTGCTTTCATGGCAGCATTCCCAGGGGGGTCTCCTGTTGTTTTCTTTTTATCTGAAATCATATAGCTAATAATGCTCGCAGAACAGCAACCAGACCTGCCCTTAGCAACATGGCAAGCTGTTCCCCTTCCCAGTTGAAACTGTGTGCATGCAGGGGAAGTATTGACAGGGCAAACAGAATCCACCAGATTGCTGGAAGAGGCGAATTGGAAGGCATCTGTGCTGCAGCCAAGCTTGGGATAAATGTACCTCAAAGAAAAGCCTTGTGGCAATTCAAGTGTTGCATTTCTGCAAGGCTAGATTCTTACATTGCATGGTGGTGGGGGTGGGGTGCAGAAGCTTATTGGGAACTTCAGAAGCTCTCTAGTAATGCATGGTGATTGTAAGGCAAGCTTCATTTGGAGTGTTTTGGTTGGGGGTGTGTAAGTCTGTTCCAGCACAAGCATCTAGGAGGGCTGGGTGTGTGCTAGTGTGCTGGTGTGCCTACGGCGGTGACTGGTGCAAGGTTTAAATCAAGCCGTCTCTGGCACCCAGGGGAGCTCGCTGTGCTGCTGAAACACTTCCCTGCCATCTGGGCCTTGGCCTAGAATTGGGCATGGATCCAGTGATACACACGCTGCAGAGAAGGGAGCTCGCTTGCTATAAAGCCACAAGGCTACTCTGACATAAATCCTTGCTTGGAAATGAATGAAGATCCATTCTCTATGGTTTCTTTTTCTTTTAGTCAAGCCCTTTTGCTACAAGGCAGCACAGATTTTGCTTTCCATACTGGCTTGGCAAGGCTGTTGTTGTGTAGTGATTCAAAACATGATCTGATATGTGCTGGTTCACATTTCAGCAAAACGCAGAACTTGTTGTGTGGCCTTTTTGGACAAGCTGTCTGCTCTTAACTTCAGCTCTTTCCCAGGGAGGATAAGAATAATGCCAGGCTACTTTACACAGTTTGTGCCGGGATTAGGCCAATGAGTTACCGTATTTTTTGCTCTATAAGACTCACTTTTTCCCTCCTAAAAAGGGGAAATGTGTGTGCGTCTTATGGAGCGAATGCAGGCTGCGCAGCTATCCCAGAAGCCAGAACAGCAAGAGGGATTGCTGCTTTCACTGCGCAGCAATCCCTCTTCCTGTTCTGGCTTCTGAGATTCAGAATATTTTTTTGTTTTCCTCCTCCAAAAACTAGGTGCGTCTTGTGGTCTGGTGCGTCTTATAGAGCGAAAAATACGCTTTTAAAGCTGTTCGTCAGCAGAATGGACTCCCTTGGGAGGTGGTGGACTTTCCTTCCTTGGGGGTTTTTAAGCAGAGGTTGGATGGCCACCTGTCATTCTTTAGTTGAGATTCCTGCATTTGCTTGGGGTTGGACTATATGACCCTTGGGGTCCCTCCCAATTCTACAACTCTATGAAAACGGCATTTGAAAGCATTGGAAACACATACACATGAGTCTAGTTTATTGCTGATTTTCTCTTGCATACTTCTGTTGATCAGTTTTTTTCTTTAACTCTTGCTTCCACTCCTTTTGAATATATGATCTTGGCTACAATCATTGCTAATTGCATCGTCTTGGCCTTGGAGCAACACTTACCAGTTGACGACAAGACGCCCATGTCAGAGAGGCTGGTGAGTACCATTTATTTGGTGGGGGAGGGAAATGTTGTCATTCTTACCCTCTTACTTAATTGTATTTATCTGATTCCACTTATGAAGCACTTCCTGTAAAAATCTGTGTCTGTTGTTGGCATCTGTCAGTAAAGGCTTCAGCCATAAGAATTATTATTATTATTATTATTATTATTATTATTATTATTATTATTAATCTACATAGCAAGAACAATCCCATATATAAAAAGGATTTAAAGCAATAAAAAACAATAATTTCCCCAGTCCTGTATACATGCAGACTAAGATAAAAATCTCCACCTAAATGGCTCATTGGAAAAACCCGAAGGTCTTCAAAAGGCGCCATGCCTGATGTGTAATGGGAGGCAGTTCCAAAGGATCGGTGCCTACTACACTCAAAGTCCAGCATCATGCAGAATCAGGAGTGCCTACTTGGCTCTACTACTGTGGGTGTCCAGGGTCTTGGGTGTCATGCAGTGTACAAGTCCCTGGCACCAAAATTTGTGGGTGCCTTGCCCCTTCATGGGAAACTTTGTGGGTGTTTGGGCACCCATGGCCCCAGGGAATTGGCACCAGTGTGCAGAGAGGACCTCCTGATGAGATGGTGTTGTGATTCACAGCGGATACTGTTATCAGATGGCTATGTTCTGCCATCACCATTGGATGCAGTATGCCTCTGAAAGCCAATTGCTGTGAATCACAAGTGGGGAGCATGGTGTTGTGCTCAGGTCCTGCTTATGGGCTTCCTAGAGAAATCTGGTTGGCCCCTGTGACAACAGGATGCTGGACTAGATGGGCCCCCTTTGGTCTGATGCAACAGGGCTCTTCTTATTTCTTAACCAGGACAATGTTGAAAGCCTTATCCAATGGATAGCATGTTAATGGAGGATAAGGCTATGTTCTATCTCTACATCCACTGCTGGACACATACGCTTCTGAATACTAGTTGCTGTGAACTGCAGTTGGGAGAGCACTGTTGACCTGTTTGCTCATTTCCCAGTGGGACATCTGGGGATACTGGACTAGATGGCCCTTTTGACTGATCCAGCAGAGCTCTTCTTATGTTCTAACTCTTTATTAGTCTACAGAGGAAGCAAAGTACAGTGGGGGAATGAGCAACTAACTGGTGATGAAGCCATCAGAATAAGCATCTGGGGAGAAAGAGTCCTAAGATGGAATGCAGGAGGAGTCAGTTTTTGGGTAAACGTTGGTTGGGGAGCTGCATTGTGAAGTTCAGAGACGTCTGAATTTCGAAGGATGTCAGTGTTTTGGTTCCTGGACTGTTTTGGAAAATGCGAGTTTAATTGGTTCACTCTCAGATGTGAACGGAATGTCATTCTTCCTCATCCCTATACCAAGGTTGTTGGCTGGCTGAGGCTGATGCAAGTGGTGTGGTCCAGGGCAGTGGCGGAGGAAGCCGCTCAGGCGCCTGGGGTGGTGCACCCAGGGGCAGGGCGAGTCGCCCATAGGGGCGAGGTGCACCATGGTGCCTCTGGAGTCTGCCTGCCTCCTCCCACTCAGCCACCCTACAGCTGGGAGAGAGGCAGTGGGTGGACCGTTTGGTCAGCAGGGAGCCTGTGTATGCCCAAGCCGCTGCGTCTCTCCCAGGAGAGATGCGTGGCTCAGGTGCGCTGCAGGTCCTGCAGCGAATGCCACCTGGCATTTTGTCACCCCCCTCAGTGGTGACACCCAGGGTGGCCTGCACCCACCGCACCCCCTTCCTCTACCCCTGGTCCAGGGAGGGGTGGGTCTGTGGTTGAAGGAAGTACCAATTCTGTTTTCTCAAACAGGGTCACATAGAGGCATTTGATAGTTTTGAACTGCTCATGTGAAGGAGAGAAGGGGGAGGGGGGGTCTTCTTCTGAAGATGAAATTTGATGGATTTACCATATTCCCTTTAAGAGAAAACAACACTGGGAGCAGCCCACTCACAAAGAAAATAACTTACCAGCAGGCTTTATGGTAATGAGGCAATTATAATATTTCAAATGCAAAGCAGAATGATTTTTGGGATAATCTCTTCATTCTTTATCAGCTGGCAGGGAGGGGGTGGAGGAGAGAAGCAGGCAGCCAGGGGTAGACATTTTCCTTGTTTTTTTAAAGGATGCTTTGGAATGTTTCCGAAGCTCAACCTGAGTGGGTATGGCTGCTCCTAGCACAGGGAGATGAAACCTTGAAGCCTCCCTCCTTTGAAACATGTTAAACATAAAAAAAGAACATAGGGGAATGAAGTAAAAAGCTGGGGGTTTTAGACAATTCCTTTTGCCTGTTTTTAGATGGTTCGTTCCATATTCCACAAGTCAGTTAAGATAACAGTTCCTGGATTTCATCTACTGTTGTAAATGGGTGGAAGCACTCCCAATATGAGAGTGTATCCAGACTGCCATGGGTGAGGGCCCACCCTTCCCCTGGGTAAAAGGTAAAGGACCTCTGGATGGTTAAATCCTGTCAAAGGCAACTATGAGGTTGCGGTACTCAATTTGCTTCAGGCCGAGAGAGCCGGTGTTTGTCCACAGACAGCTTTCCGGGTCATGTGGCCAGCAGGACTAAACTGCTTCTGGCACTCGGAGGACTGTGACGAGTGCCAGAGTGCATGGAAATGCTGTTTACCTTCCTGCTACAGCGGTACCTATTTATCTATTTGCACTTTACCTTATCTTTCCCCCCATGGATAGACCAGGTCTGTGGACCAGTTACACCTGGATGGACAGTTACGCAAGGCCCTATTGGAGCCCTGGTCTACAGCCCATTGGCCACAATGGGTAGACCAGGGTATACCAGGTGGCCAGAATTCCCAATGTGTTTCAATTGAGAAAGGGCCTTAGCTCATGGATAGAGCATCTGCTCTGAATGCAGAAGGCCCCAGTATCAATCTCTGGCATCTCCAGGTAGGACTGGGAAATAAGTCCTGCCTGGAACCCTGGAGAGTTACTGTCAACCAGTATAGACAATACTGAGCTAGATGGACCAATCGTCTAATTCAAAATGAGCTAATTTCCTACATTGCTGTGTTCTGTGGCCCATACAAGGGCTCCTTCACATATAGATACTGATCTGGAGGTCTGCACATGGACCACTTCTTTAAAAGTAAACTGATTCACTTGCCTAGCATGAAATTTAAAACCATGTGGTTCCATAAGTTTATCTCTTGGAAGAATGCATTAAAGGTGAAATCTAGGGCTTTTTAAAAAAAATCCAAAACCCTTAACTGAGTATATGAGTTACCATCAGTTAGTTGATTATATTTATATAAATGTGCATATCATTAGAACAATGTTTTGAAGTGGAATATCATACTTTTAGATGGTGGCCATTAAGATATGTTGTAGCAGGTAACATCTTAGAAGAAGCATCTCCTCCCTGTGATCTTAGAAAAGGCATTCTTCCTTGTATGTGAGAGTTAAGAAAATATGCCTTTTCCAAGTACAGGTGTATATGTGTGTGTGTGTCTGTGTGTGTGTATGGGTTGTATTCAAAGTTAATCTTACTCAAAGTAGAGCCATTAAAATATTGGACACGACTAACTTAGGTGAATTAATTTCATTGGATCTACTCTCAGTAAAACATAGCTGGATGCAACTCTATACATTTTTTGAAGTGTTGCCAAATTAATTGAGGATGTATGTTTAGCCAGTCATCTGTCTTCTTTATGAATTTATTAATTTTATATAAAAATGTCTTTCTCACCCATCTGCTGCCACTTAGGGAAGTTACTAACAATTTAAAATCACAGTGCAATAAAAAAAAAGTTAAAAGGAAAAAAATTGAAATAAAATACCTAGCATTTAAAATACACAATCATACAAAATATAGAGGCAAGAAATATAGAAATCTACAAGCGTCTTAAAATGTGACCGCTAGATTGGTTATTTTTTGGTTTGAGACATATTGCTATGGCTGCCTTAACTTAGTTCCCTGAATTATGGTGAAAAATTTCTTATGATTAATAATCATTAGAAAGAAGCATGTTGTTATTAAAACAATTATTAGTTTTTAATAGTAAACTGATAACTATATAAACCCTCCTTTACAAGATTTTTTTGTTATTTGTAAAAAAATCCTACCCTGCCAACAATAAGGGAAAAAAATATCATGGTGGTTAATGTGAAATCAACATTAAAATTATTATTAGTATTGTTATTTATAAAATTTGTATAATGCCCTTCATCTGAATATCTCAGGGTGTTTCACAGCATAATTAGAGTGGCTTGTGAATAACATTCATGAAAGAAATCCCAAATATGTCACAAATCAGTAGGTCAGATTAATGGAGCAACACGGCTGGATTACGCATCAGAGAAAGCCTGGAAGAACGGTTGCATATGTATTGGATACAGAATGTTGTCAATTTTACAATATTTTGGATGAGAAAAACCGCACTGGAAGCCTTGATTTGCCATCTTATTTGCCTGTCTGAAGTAATTAGAATATAAAATCATGATTATGATGATAATTAAATACGTATCTCAATCACCTTTCATCAGAAGGTTCCAGGGCAGTATATGAAAGTGTGAAAATAATTCAAGCATATAAATATGATATATTTGGAACAAATGCACATAACAAGCAACAAAACAAAGAGCAGATGAAAACTTATAACAAAAGGAACAAAAGTAATTGTATCCAACATGTCATTATTTTGTGAGATGGATTCAAGAGCATCATCGAAGCTCATAATTTGCACCATTAAAGTAAAGCACTCTGCCTGCACTAGCACAAAAAAGGGGGGAAACGCTAAGAAAAAAGGATCTGCAATGAAAATCTTGGGATGAAGGCATTTTAAACACTGCCTGAGCAAATAGGGATGAATGCTTGTTGTCACATAATGACCCTGTTAACAAATCAGAATGAGTGTTCAATAAAGGCCAGATATAATCTAACCTGCGTGTGAGCTTTGTGCAACAGATCAGGATGAATGTTCAACAAGTAAGTCAGCTGGGAGAGCCTTGAAGGTTCCAGCCCTTCTGAAATCCAGTTGATCCACTATTTGGCACAGAAAGTGAGTAGGAAATGACATCAATTAGCATATAAAGAGAATCACAAACGGAGGGTAGAGAGCTTTGGAGATGGAGATGGTTGCCAATGCATTTCAGTAAAACTCTTTCGCAAAAGAAGGCAGTGGTAGCCACCAATTTGGACAACTTTACAAGGTTAAGTCCAGTCGCGGATGACTCTGGGGTTGCGGCGCTTATCTCACTTTACTGGCCAAGGGAGCTGACGTTTGTCCACAGACAGCTTCCGGGTCACGTGGCATGACTAAGCCGCTTCTGGTGAACCAGAGCAGCGCACGGAAACGCTGTTTACCTTCCCGCCGGAGCAGTACCTATTTATCTACTTGCACTTTGACGTGCTTTCGAACTGCTAGGTTGGCAGGAGCTGGGACCGAACAATGGGAGCTCACCCTGTTACGGGGATTCGAACTGCCAGCCTTCTGATCGGCAAGCCCTAGGCTCTGTGGTTTAGATCACAGCGCCACCCTTTACAAGAGCACGAGACAAATTCATGGGGGGGGGGAAGGTTATCAGGGGCTTCCTGTCATGATGGCTATACTCTGGCTTCACAGAGGCAATATGCCTCTGACTATCAGTTGCTGGAAACCGCAGGCGGGGAGAGTGTGCTTATTCCTGGTCCTTCTTGTCAGTTTCGTACAGGCATCATCTGTTTGGCCATTGTGAAAACAGGATTCTGGACTAGATGGGCCATTGGCGTGATCCAGCACACTCTTCTTATGTTCTTAAAATAAACTTGCTGTAAAAAACAAATCCAATAACCAACCATCAATATAATACTTAGAAATAAACACAACATTATCTAACCATAATATACACAGCTTACAGTTCACTCTTCCGTGTTTATTCAAAAGTAAGCCCCACTGTAGGCAATGCTAGTCCTATTTGGAGTAGAGCTGTAGAAATTGATGCACAAGACTAAGTTAGGTGCCTTGGATTGTATTCAGCTAAATTCTACTCTGAGAAGGGTAGACACTGAAATCGATGGGTCTAAGCTATTTATTCCCTTTAATTTCACTGAATATACTCTGAGTAGAACTAACATTGGGTACTACCCATTAACTTCAAAGGGTAAACTCTGAATTGACCTTAGTTGGGTACAACCTGCTGAGGTTAATGGTGTTTACACTTGAGTAAGCAAATACAGTGTTATGGCCTTAGATCAGGCATGGCTCTACAGCTGTTTTGGGACTACAACTCCCATCATCCCTAGCTAACAGGACCAGTGGTTAGGAATGATGGGAATTGTAGTCCCAAAACAGCTGGAAGGCCAAGTTTGGCCATGCCTGCCTTAGATGCTCAATGTTTAAACAATTCAATGACTGCTGAATTGTTTAAATGCTGAGTGTTTCAGCTATGTGCACTGTGTATTATGGTTAGATACCTGTTGATATTTTTTCTTATTTTAATAATGGCCAGCTGCTCTGAGACTAGTTTTCCACAAATAAGGAGCTTTAAATTCCCCCCTTTTGTCATATTATGTGTGCTATTTTCTCTTCCACCTTAAGCTTGGAGGAAATAATACAGTGGTGCCTCGTAAGACGAAATTAATTTGTTCCGCGAGTTTTTTCGTCTAGCGAATTTTTTGTCTTGCGAAGCACGAAATCCCATAGGAATGCATTGAAATTCAATTAATGCGTTCCTATGGTCAAAAAAAGTCAAAACAAAGCCAAATTTGGTACAACAAGAGTTTATTAAGTGCTCTTTAAAGTCACACATACTGTAAAGAGCATTTCAAAAATTGAAGGAACAATAAATTAAGTTTCTAAATATGACAGAAAAACATTTAAAAATCAACAAAGTGTACAGTACATTTTCTAAGACTCTGGGGGACAACTCGAAGAAGGTTCCTCTTCCACTCTTTGCTTCTTGCTGAAGAACCTGTCCATGGTTTGCTGCTTCATCCGCCTTTTCAGCAGCTCCCTGAAAGGCGACATGACCCTCGTATCAAAAGTGTTCGCAAGGTCATGTGCCACGTGCTTGTCAGGGTGGTGCCGCTGTGCAAAAGCCTGCACATCCTTCCACTTCCACTTGCATCCTTCCACTTGCAAACCCTTCCCCAACTGTTCCCCCAGCCACCCACCACACAGAAATTCAAATCCAGATTTTTTTTTAAAAAAACAGCAGAGTGGCCCAATGGTCACAAAAAATCATAAAAATGCAGAAAAAAAAACAAGCTTCCAGATTCTTGCAAACCCCTCCTCAACTGTTCCCCCAGCCACCCACCACACAGAAATTCAAACCCAGATTTTTTTTTTTAAAAAAAACAGCAGAGTGTCCCAATGGTCACAGAAAATCATAAAAATGCAGAAAAAAACACACAAGCTTCCAGATTCTTGCAAACCCCTCCCCAACACCTAGTCCTTGAATTCCAAACACCCCAACCCAAAATCCAACCCCCCCCCCCAAAAAGTTTTAAAAGTATAACTTACCAAATGGCTGCAAAAGAAGTTTTGGAAAAGCTTCAAAAATCACCAAAGTCTTCAAAAACCTCAAAAAAGGCTACCACACCACGTGCTATGAGTTGCTCCTCAAAGTCAAGTCGCAACTGCACCTCTTCAAGCAATGCACCCTGGGTATTAACGGTTTTACGAAAAAGGAAACAAACTTGCAAGATGTTTAGTCTTGCGAAGCAAGCCCATAGGGAAATTCGTCTTGCGAAGCACCTCAAAAAACGAAAAACCCTTTCATCTAGCGAGTTTTTCGTCTTGCGAGGCATTCGTCTTGCGGGGCACCACTGTATCTCAGGAAGCCTGTGTCATTATATCTTGACTGAATAGCTTAGTCAGGTCATTAGTGAGTATACCAGGATTTAAAAGTGCCAATTTGTACCCAGGTGAGACCAGCGGGTGTAGCAACCGCCTGCAGTGCCCCAAAC